ACCTTTTCAGGCAGCAACAAAAAGCTGCAAAACTGAAGCCTTTCTATCAGACAGGGAAAAACCTGAGTCCAGGGTGGCACAGACCAAGGCAGGAGCCTGGAACGGGACCAGGCACCGGGCAGCTGGTGCAAACACTGGAACCACCATCATGTTTTTCAACTCGTGCTCAGACTTCCAGACACAAAGGGAGCATTTTCCCAAGGGACACCAGTCACTGTCATTTACAGTTATCTTCTAATAGAATCATGGCCTTTAGAAGGGCTTCCATGGAACGAGCTGAGCAGCAGCTCACGGCACTTGAGCTGTCCTGACAGGTCGCCTATTACAACGCTGGTGACGCTGACGAAACGGGGGCAGTTCATCAAAGAGTTCTCCCCAAAAGACACGTTATAAAGAAGCCCACCACCACCATGAGTTATCTTGACTAGCAACCTCATTAAAAGAACTGTAATATTCTGCCATACCCTGCTACAGAATCAGGCTCTTAGGTAGACAAAGGCTTTTTAGCCATGGTGTTTCTCTACTTAAAGGCCATTGTTTAGTCTTTTTTCCTCCTTCAGATTAAACCACACTCCACTTGAAAGCTGTACAGATCTAGCAAGAAATTCCTTTGAGCTGGCATAGGCCTTATCAAACAATTTATCACCCAATCCATCTCTTAAGCACCTAGTGCCATGGCATCAGGTCTTGTTAAATCATAGCAAGGTGAATAATACAGTATCTGGTCTCTGTCCTTAAGCCTATAGCCTCTGGCTAATGCCTTACTGTAAATGAAGCATATTAATATATCTTCAGTGCAGCATAGATATGACCTGTCCTTTTATGCATTTCTTCAGGGCTTAGACCTGGGAACTGTAAATGTCACCATCAAGATACTTCATTGCTTGCAAGACGCTCATCACTTGCAAATAGCAAGATAAAAATGGAAAAGCGTTTGAGTGAGAAAACTAGGAACACTTTTAAACAAATAACAACACAAGTTTTTGTAACAGCACCTTTATGGAACACAAAGTTTGCTTTACACAAGTGCCAGGCTACATGAATTTATTTTAAGTCCTCTGTATTAAGAAAGCAATCTAGGCTTAGCCTAGCCTGGTAAAACTTGTAGAACTCATTTATTACAGGCACTGCATTTGGGCTATTTCAAAGTAAAACAGGGCTTTCCCCTACGGATTTTGGAGTGATTGACAAGACAGACACATTATTACATTCTTTCCTGAGAAAAACTGTTCTTCTCCATTATGTATCAAATGGTTTTAGGACTTCAGAACACACAAACAACATGGTGCTAGTTACAGTTAAACAGGAAATTCATGTAAGCAAAAGCCCAAATCCTTTTCATGGTTACAAATCATTTTGAATATGTTTTTATATGGGAAATCTGACTTAGATTTATGAACATAAAATCCATCTCTTCATAGAACAGCAAGCATAATTCCTTGCCAGTGCAGGTGAGCATGGCCCATCAGCCTCCAAAAGGAAGTCTGGACTTGAGGCACATCCAGCTCTGAATTACCAAGCAATCCCTTCAGATTCAGCAGCTTTGGTTTAGTGGACGGAAACTTTGGCCTGTCGTTTAAACAAATGTACTTGCCAACAATGAACAAGTAAGACTTTATTTTTTAAAGTAAAACAAAGTGTGATACGTGCATAAAGTCAGTGCCTCGACCCTTACAAGCATCTCTGGAAGTGACTTTACAAATGGGCAGTGCTTAAGTTACAAAAGATTCAAACCTTCAAGGTCAACTGATTTTCTTTATGATGACTGAAGAAATGGCTCTGCTTCAGGAATTCAGAAGATGAATCAGGTTTAGTAGTGGATTTACTAGTTTGCTGCAATTTACAATCGGATGATCATGTCTGAACCAAGGAGACATCCAGACAGGTTTAGCCAAAAGGTTTATGGCTTCAAAGTCAAATTCAAAGACCAGTGTCAGTCATTTGGGCAACTGAAGACTAGCAGACAGAAGATAAGCGGAGGCCAGGTGCTTCACTGGTATTTTGGAAACAGTCTCCCACAGTGTCTTCTCTTACAGCAATTTCCTCTTCTCGAACTCCTGCAAGAGCCAAGTGAAAGAACGTGATACGCTGCTACTACTGGTATATTTTAGATTACATTGTATTTGTTAGGAACTCCTAACTTCGGGAATTAAAAACCGGAATTAAAATTTAAAATAAGAAAACCATAGTATGTGGGAGCTGGAGAGAAAGCAGGACAAGTATTTCCTCACCTCTAATAAGCCAACTGGCTATGAAGAACCAGCATCACTATAATGCAATCATTGCACTGCATCCAGACTGCAGTGCTGTCAAGTAAGTGTTTATCCTAGCAGGCTTGAAAAACACTAATTATGCAGAAGCATTCAAGCCAGGGAAGCAATGGCATCATTAGGATCTCCATCTTAATACAGGAAAAAACATAGAAAAAAGTCCCTGACGCAATGACCTGTAAAGATACCATATTATACACGCATCACAAGACAAAAAAGAAAACGATTTGCACAGTTGAATTTCTTCTAGCTGTGAAGAAATTTTTTTGAGAAGAATTAAGAAACATTAAAAAAATCCTGCTCCACCAGAAGCTTACTCACTGTGTGCATTCAGCTGTGATTCTGAATTAGTACTTAAGAGACATATCAACATGCCTAAGCTTTCCAGCCTCAAATATCCTACTTGAAAAAGTGTTTTCCTCATTTAAAATTAATTCAGATTCTTTGCTTCCCCTGATAGCATCCAGAAAACACAACTCAAGAGCTGATACCTTTGAGCACAAAATGTCATCACCTTCACTTTGTTCTATGCTTATGTTCTTACAAAGGCAATATTACATACAATCACTCTTGCATATCATTTAATACCTGCAGTGATAACTACAGCTTGTTCAGTTGACAGAGCTCTTATATTTACCTATGTTAAGTCACAGGATACTTTGGTAAAAGACATATTCCTAACCCTTCTCCTCTCAAAGAAAGTATCTTCTGTCTTACTCTGGATACAAAACCACAGCTTCCAAGTAACTAACCTTGTATATGGTGCTTCCCAGCTGAGCAGGAGACATGCTGACCACAACGCCAGCGCTCTGAAGAGCAGCTATCTTCTCTTTGGCTCCACCTTTGCCCCCAGCAATGATTGCTCCAGCATGACCCATGCGCCTGCCCGGAGGAGCGGTCAGCCCAGCTATGAAGGACACTACTGGCTTCGCATTCGGGCCCTGCACAGGAAGTGAAAATAATGTGTTACATGGGGGAGG